TGAGAAGGTAATTCTAACACTTACATGGAAACCCAAAGATCTAGAATAAACTTTGGAAAGGAAAAAAAAGAGCGAGAAATTTGACTTGCATTTCCAGATTTCAAAACTTATATGAAGTCCTTAGTAATTAAGAAAGAATGGTCAGCTGGTATGAGAATAAAATAAAGGGTCAAGAGGGAGGGGGTGCTTGGGTGGCTCAGTCGGTTGGGCGTCAGACTTCAGGTCAAGTCATGATCTCAGGGCTCGTGGGTTTGAGCCCCGCATCGGGCTCTGTGCTGACAGCTAGCTCAGGGCCTGGAGCCTGTTTCAGATTCTGTGTCTCCCTCTCTTTCTGACCCTCCCCTGCTCATGCTGTCTCTCTCTGTCTCTCAGAAATAAATAAAACATTTAAAAATAAGATAAAGGACCAAGAAACAGTGATCTCACAGTTCGTCTGTGTCTACACAATACTGCTAATTCATTTCACGGGGCGCCTGGTTGGCCCAGTTGGTTAAGCTACCAACTTTGGCTCAGGTCATGATCTCACAGTTCATGAGTTCGAGCCCCATGTCAGGCTCTGTGCTGACAGTTCAGAGCCTAGACCCTGCTTTGGATTCTGTGTCTCCCTCCCTCTCTGCCCCTCCCCTGCTCATACTGTCTCTCTCTCTCTCTCTCTCTCAAAAATTAAATAAACATTAAAAATAAAAAAAATTCATTTGATTTTTGTATGTTTATCTTGTATCCTATGACCTTGCTGAACCCATTGAATAGTTTTAGGATTTTTTAAAATATATTTTTTGGTATGTACTTTGGGATTTTCTACATAGACAATCATGTTATCTACAAATAGTGGAAGTTTTACTTCCTTTCTGATCTATATGATTGTCTTTACCTTTCCTTACTTTATTGCACTGGCTAGGACATCTAGCATATGGCAAATGAAATTGATGGGAGTGAGTATCCTTGCCTTTTTCTTGATCTTAGGGCAAAGGTATATAGCATTTTACTGGCAAGCATACTATCAGCTGTCGAGGAAGTTCCCCCCTACTCTTATGTTTCTCAGAATTTTTAGCATGGATGGGTGTTGACTTTTGGCAAAATTATTTTCTGCATAGATTAACATGATCATGTGATTTTCTTTATTAGCCTGTTAAGAGGGTGGATTCCACCAATTAATTTCCAAATATTAAAGCAGCCTTGCATCCCTGGAAAAATTCCATTTGCATTTGGTATTATTCTTTTATATATTGATAAATCTGCTTACTAATATTTTGTGAAACTTTGTGCCTGCATTCATTCATGAGGGACATTTCTCTGCAGTTTTTGTATGCTCTTTGTCTGATTTTGGTAATGGAGTAGCACTAGGTTCATAAAAGGAGTTAGCAATTACTTTCTATTTTCTGGAAGAAATTGTGTAAAATTCATGCCAGTTCTTCAAATTTTTACCATAGCTCTCACGATTAGGCCATCTGAGTCTGGAGATTTTTTAAAAAATTATTTAACATTTAACTTTACACAGACATTGCAACTTCAGCTTTCTCTGACTCCTGTCCTAAGGAGAGGTAAGAAGGGGCTGCCCCTAGAGCTCCACAGTAAGGTTTGGAGACAGGTCGCAGGTGCTTTGAGAGCACTGTGCCTCTGTGCAGAAGTAGGTTCCTGCATCTGCAGTCTGGGTGGCCACCACGTGCAGGGAACTGTCCTTCTTAGTCTCTCCAAACCAAGCTGTCAGTTTTTTCTGCTTCACAGCTCCACTCTTAATTAAGGAGATCAAGAGGACAGGACTGCCCCCCGGCCTCTGCTTATACCACTGTATGCTGTTTAAAGTCCTTGAGGAATTGCAGTAAGTGGTGAAGTTGTCTCCTTCTTGTAGAAGCAGGGATTGAGGAATTTGCTTTATGTCTTGTCCATTCACTTCTGTTAAAACAAACAAACAATGGGAGGCATAATAGAAAATGTGATTAGATCGCTATTCTCTGAACTGCAATGGTCTCTCGCTCTTCTTGTCTAATTTTCTCCTTCTTTCCATGTCTCCCTCCCCAAGTCCCTCTAACTTTCTTCTTTTTTAGTTTCCCCTCTCCCAATTTTTTGGCTCTCAATCAGAAAATCTCATTCCTGCAGATGCCTGAAGATGGTATGCGGCTATGTTGGGTTCTCTGGAAGCAATCAGGGAAATCTCAAACTCACGTGATATGTGCATCCATAAGATCAACAGTGGTACTGTAAGTAACATTTCCCTCTTCCTCTTCAGAAAGAATGGCTGCATCTGGTTGCCCCGAAAGGCGTTTCCCTTGTTACAAGTGTCTCCCAGACCCAAAGAAATGTAGTCTACCAATACACTGCCTTTAGGAAAGAAAAGGGAAAGAAGGGACTGCAATTTCAGGTAGCCAATCAGACTCTTTTTCTCAGCCACCTTCAGAAGAGGGTCTATGATTGCAAGATACCACCTCCTGGTGGTCAGACTCAAAACTTGCTGATTTTATAACCGATTCCTTATACACTGTTGTTTTTTTGGTTTGGGTTTTTTGCTTTTGTTTTTATTTTTGAGAGAGAAAGAGAGAGAGAGAGAGAAAACTTTTGTTTTTACCCGAAGCCAAGCTCAAGCTCACCCAATGTAGGACTTGAACTCATGAACCCGTGAGATCATGACCTGCCTTCACCGACTGAGCCACACAGGCACGCCGCCACTTCTGTGATTTTAAAAGCCCTGAGCCACCACATAAGATATAATATACAGCTTCCCTTCTCGAAAGCCCACGTAGAGACGTCACGTGGGAAGGGACAGTCTGAGAATACAGCACACGAGAGACGAACCCCGCGATCCCGGTGTTCCAGCTGCGTCCAGCCTTCCAGGCATCCTCACTAAGGCTCCAGACATTTAAGTGAGCAGTTTGGCTGTGTGCCGGTTCAGTCGAGCCCCCAGACGTCACCTGGAGCAGAAGTATCATGAGATAGTAAAATGGTAGCTGTTTAAAACCGTTGCGTTTTGGGGTGGTTGATAACGCAGCGAACAACGACAGCACTGAAGTCCTTTGAGGAATCTTGTTGAGGACTTGGGAGAAATTGGCAAGAATTACAATGTGTCTTCCCTCTGTCGGCATTCTGATGGTTTCTAACAGTTCGACCTGGAACATCTGCCTTTTTCACCAAACTTCTTTTTAAATATGACTCTCGCGCTCCCGCTCCGGCACAGGAGACATGGTGACGACGCTCGGGTGTGATGTGAGCCCTGGGCCTCCACGGCACAGGAGCAGGTGGCGGATTGCTCACACCGGGGCCCTACAATAAACAGGAAGACGTAAGACTATCTTGTTCAATGCGATTTTTATACTTCACTTACTCTTCTCATTCCATCTACTAAACTCTAAAACACAAACAACCCCCACCCCAAAACTGCGGAGCTATTTACAAACGCATGCCCGTATCTCTGTGAATAATCAAAATTTAACAGACCGTTTTCAATTTCAGATCAGTTTTAGAATCCAGAGACTGAGAATTGTGGTTACTATTTCCTTGGTTACACTTTTGTAAAGGTATAGTTTTTTTTTTTTTTTTTTTGTAAAGAGTCTGCATTCCAGATTTACATCTTCCCTCTGCTTTTTTTTTTTTAATTTTTTTTAAATGTTTTATTTCTTTCTAGGAGAGAGAGAGAGAGAGACAGCGTGAGCAGGGGAGGGTCAGAGAGAGAGAGGGAGTCACAGACTCTGAAATAGGCTCCAGCTCTGAGCTGGCAGTCAGCACAGAGCCTGACGCGGGGCTTGAACCCATGAACCGCGAGATCATGACCTAAGCGAAAGTCGGACGCTTAACCGACTAAGCCACCCAGGCGCCCCCCCTCTGCTTTTAACAGTAGATTTTTCAAGTGAGGTGCCGCTGAGTCCAGGAATTGATCACGTATGTGGAAAGGGCTTTGTCCCCTCACATCCAAACAAGCAAGGGGCCCAGGGAGTCTGGAGTCATGGACCAGTTTCCGGCGGGATTCTGTCCAGAAGTGCTCTTCAGATGTAGCCCATTTCTCTATGTTCTGTTACATGAAAAATTCTGTGAGCATTGTGCTGCAGTAGTATGCAAACGAACCACATTTTGTCCTTGACTATTTCCCGTGCCTTTTGTTTCTACCAATTCAGAGGTAGCTAAAACCACACGATTGTTACTGAAAATATTAGGAATTTCTACCATTGATCTTTATGACAGTACTGATGGAGAGCCAATCTGGGGAGGTGACCAGCCGCTAGAACATTGGTTGCTCTTCTCTTGTGTGATTTCACTCTACCAACGCTAGTGGGCAATGAATGGTACTTTCTCCTCACTCAGTCCTGTGCTAGGCCCCTCCCATTCTACATACATTCCAATAACGTAACAGACTCAGCTGCTCCCAGTCTGATGGTCAGATAGATGTATTACTACCTTATGAATGATTTTTGGAAAAACAATCTTTCCATCTGTGTGTCTCTTAATAAGGGTCCAATCTGAGGGATTGGTCTGGAATCCAATACTGTTTCCAAAATATGCAGTATTTTTTTTGTCATGTGATAATGACAGTAGTAAGATTTCAAAAACTAAAAAATCTACAAAAAGAAAGAGACAAAGAGAGCCATAGCAGCACAATTTAAGAAGCAACCAGAGCTGGATAAGCAGTCATTAATGTAGATGTCGGGAGAAGGCTGACAAGCTATGAGATGAAGAGGCTCACAAATGAGTTAATTCATGTTAACAAAACCCCACAAAGCTCCAGATTGAGAGGCCTCTAGAGTACCAATGGGTTATTAAACTAGTGGATTGTTTGGAAATCTGCAAAATGAGCGCAGCACCAGATACTCTACTCCCCTCATATGCCAGGAAATGACAAAGGAAGAAACATAGATCCTCATGGAGTTCAGTTATTTATTCAATATAGCAATCCCAGTATAAACTGGAGGATAGACCGAACATAGTAGTGAGCTTCCCTTATCAGTGCTCTTTGCAGGTCTCGAAAGAGATTTTAAAAGGTGCAAATATCCATGTATGAGAAGAAATGAAATCCAGATGTTCACGTAGGGGGTAGGTTGAACTGAACCCAGACCCCAATCCCCAAACCCCGTTCTGATATGGTGCGTGCAGAGCTCCATGCCAGATATGAGAAGAGGCCATGTTCACATGTTCCACTCATGCATGTGAAGAGATATGACTGAATGACCAGCTTTTAGGATGTAACAACAGTGAGGAGTAAATGTTATCCCAGTTTAACCAGATTATTTTAGGTAGGCTGGAGTAACCATCTAGTTCCTCTGCAATCGGTTATGCCAAAAGAGGAAGCAAGGGGTCTGACTCAACTTGGTGACACAGCTAATATGTTGGTGGGAGTTGAGGTTAGTGGTGCTTAGGAATAATCCAGTTAATTGAGGGAGCTACAGTGACTAGAAGGTTTGTTTGTCTGTCTGCACTTTCCCCTGATTATTGAAAAACACTGTAGTTCAATGAGTTTGCCTTTTCCACCCTGCACATGGCACTTGTCAACGCTGACACCAGAGCAGCACCAGCCACGGGTTTGGGTATGGGCTGCAGGTGCCTGAAGAGCACTGTGTCCAGGCACAGAGGTACATGGCTGCATCTTCCAGCTGGGATCCTTTGAAGTACAAGGAGCTAGAACCCTTCTTAGTATCAAGAGTGACTTTTACTCGTCCTTCCTCCTTTTCATCCCCATTTAAAGTAATTGTAAACAGGAGCTCAGGGCTTTTTGCAGATTCCCATCTGTACCACTGTAAGGCATAAAAATTGCTGGTAGGAAAACGGCAGGTGAAATTAGTGTTTTCTCCTTCCTGAACATGAAGCAACAGGGGATACTGTTCCACATTCAATACGCTGCCCGCTCCTGTTGAGAAAGACAGGGTCAGACATAGATATTGGTCTCTCTACAGTTTCCATTTTCTTTGCACATTCCCAAGCAAAACCTAGAGGTGCCAGACCACTCTTTCCCCCTTCTCCATCACCACCCACGACTGTTCAGAATGTCTTTGGCAACCCAAGGACTTACGGCCAAGATGAAGCCACAGGATTAGCAAAGAGACTGCCAAAGGACTCTTCTCCATTGATCCTACCCCAGGATCTCAGCAGAGGAATGTTCCACAGCCTACATCTGTTTCAGAAAACAGGATTTTGCATCTGGTTGCCCAGCCAATCACAGACAAGTTCATATAAATGTCCTAGAAACACACCCACCAACTCTGCCCTAGATTCAGTTTCCTGTCTTTCAAAAGGAGAGATCAAACACTGTTTTCTTGATGCCTGCTTCACAAACATTGGGGAAAGCCCCCATGTGTTTTAACACGAAGAGAGTGGGCAACCTTTGAGAAGGTGGCTGTTTAAACATAGACCGCCATTATTAAGCTTCAGAGAGAGTTACAGGTGCCATGGCAATCTGGGATAGGGAAAGCACTTTGGCTAGAAATCTTTCTGTGAATCTTCAGAAAATGTATTTATTTTATTATTTTATTTTAGAGAAAGAGCACAAGTGGGGTAGGGGGCAGAGGGAGGGAGAGAGAGAGAGAGAGAGAGAGAGAATCCCAAGCAGGATCCATGCTCAGTGGGACTCGATCCCACCATCCTGGGATCATGATCTAAGCCAAAATCGAGAGTCTGAGGCTCAACAGACTAAGCTACCCAGGCACTCTTCAAAAAAAATTTTATAACTTACAGATCACCCCAAATTGTAAATGTGCATACATACGATGTGCTAAACTGTCTTTTGTTTTATGTATATTATTTTAACACAAAAGTCATGTAAGGAGGGCACTTGTGGGGATGAGCACTGGGTGTTATGTGGAAACCAACTTGACAATAAACTATATGTAAAAAAAAAAAAAAGAAGAAGAAATATTATTATTCCCAATGTACAAACAAGAAAACTAAAGTTCAAGGGAATTCTGTAATTAACTCAAGGTCAAACATCTGGTAGGCAGAATCATAAGAATTAAAACATATCTATCTGGTTCTGGAGTTTATGATGTTTGGAATCTGTCATGCTACCTACATTAGTGATGCTCAGTAAATAATTTAAATGTTAGAGAATATATGTTCTATAAATAATGGGAGTCTATTTCGCAATTACTTTTCCTAATAGTCAAAAACAAGGGAACAATCCAAATGTCCATCAGCTGGTAAATGGATAAATAGAAGGAGGCATATTCATCAATGGAATACTATTCAACAATAAAAAGGAGTTAAATACTAATATACAATATAACATAGATAAATCTAAAAAATACATTAAGGAAAAGAAACCAGATACAAGAGCTAACATCTTGAATTGCTCCATTTATATAAATGTTCAGCAAATGAACCTATACAGGGATAAAACAGATGAGTGGTTGACTGGGGCCAGGGGTGTAAATAGGGATTAAATGTAATTAAGCATGAAAAATCTTTTTGGGGTGATAAAATGTTTAAAAACAGACTATTATAGTGGTTTCATAATTCAGTTAATTTGCTAAAAGTCATTGAACTGTAAATTCAAAATGGATGACTTTTATGAAATGTAAATTATACTTCAATAATGCTGTCTTTAAAAATATTTTCTGTGATGCTTCTTTTTTTTTAATTCTCAAGTTAGTTAACATACAGTATAGTCTTCGCCTCAGGAGTAGAACACAGTGATTCATCTTTTACATAGACTACCCGGTGCCCATCCCAACAAGTGCTCTCCTTAATGCCCATCACCCATTTACCCCACCCCCATCAACCCTCAGTTTGTTCTCTGTAGTTGAGTCTCTTATGATTTGCTTGCCTCTCTGTTTTTATCTTATTTTTCCTTCCCTTCCCCTATGATCATCTGGTAAGTTTCTCAAATTCCACTCATGAGTGAAATCATATACCTTTCTTTCTCTGAGTGACTTATTTGGCTTAGCATAATACCCTCCAGTTCCATCCACATTGTTGCAAATGGCAAGATTTCATTCTTTTTCATCACCAAGTAGTATTCCATAGTGTGTGTGTGTGTGTGTGTGTGTGTGTTTGTGTTGATAGTGTTGCTATAAACATTGGGATGCATGCCCACATTTATAGCAGTGCTATGAACAATAACCAAAGTATAAAAAGAACCCAAATGTCCATTGACGAATGAATGGATAAAGAGGTGGTATATACAAAAAAGAATTACTTGTCAATCAAAAAGAATGAATTCTTGCCATTTGCAACAACATGGATGGAACTAGAGTGTATGATGCTAAGTGAAATTTGTCTATCAGAGACAAATGTCATATGACTTCACTCACATATTGAATTTAAGATGATACAAAACAGATTAACATGGGGAAGGGAAGCAAAAATAATATAAAAACAGGGAAGGGGACAAAACATAAGAGACTCTTAAATATAGAAAACAAACAGAGGGATGCTGGAGGGGATATGGGTAGGGGGATGGGCTAAATTCATAAGGGGCATTAAGGAAGACACTTGTTGGGATGAGCACTGGGTGCTCTACCTAGGGGATTAATCACTAGATTCTACTCCTAAAATCATTAATGCACTATATGCTAACTAGCTTGGATGTAAATTAAAAAATAAAAATAAGGGCACCTGGGTGGCTCAGTTGGTTAAGCATCCAACTTCAGCTCAGGTCATGATCTCACGGTTCGTGAGTTAGAGCCCCGTGGTGAGCTCTGTGCTGACAGCTCAGAGCCTGGAGCCTGCTTGGGATTCTGTGTCTCCTTCTCTCTCTGCCCCTCTCCCCACTTGTGCTCTGTCTCTCTCTCTTACCTTCAAAAATAAATAAATATTAAAATAAAATAAAATAAAAATAAATAATAAAACAAGAAAAACATTTTAAAGGCTTATGTACAATAGTCCTATAGCAGCTTTATTTGTAGTAGCGAAAAACTGGAAACAACCAAAGTGTCCATCGAGAGATGAATGGATAAACAAATTGTGGTATAGTCATACAATGGAATACTATTTAACATTACAAAGGAATGAACTATTGATACATGCTAAAACATGGATAAACCTCAAAACAATTATGCTAAGTGAGAGAAAGCAGACGTAAAAGAGTATACACCGTATGGTTCTATTTATAAAATTCTAAAAGATGCAAATGAATCTAAAGTAATTAAAAAAAAAAAAAAAACAGTCTGTGGTGACCTGGGGAGGGGATGGGAGGAGACCAGGCCGAAGGGAGGGTTTGCAAGAGAGGCTCAAGGAAGATTTGGTGATGTTGGATATGTTCACAGTTTTGACTGTGATGATGATTTCATGGAGGGGGTGGAGGAGGTGGTGTCAGACCGTATCAAATCGTATGCTTTAATTAATTGCAGTTTGTTTTATGTTAATTTTGCCTCAGGATAAAAAAGAACAACTGTTCTAAAAAAATAAACATCAGGGTGCATGTACCCCTCAATAAAGCTCTTGTAAAAAGTAAATAATAATTATGGTCTATCTAGCCTGTGTCATAGTCTAGATATAATGTTAGTTTCACTTAACATACACATATTTGCTTACAGAGTGATTTTTGTGCCTAGAATTCCCCTCTGAGCTTTGAAAATTACAAAAACAACCTTCTCCATTTTCTGTGAGATCAAACTATAGTTGGAGAAATAAGATATGTCCAGAAAAAATTTAATAGTACAAGATTGCACGAATTAAGATTATTCAGAACATATATCTGCCTCTGGGAAATCGGTGGTATAAATTGGCTTCAAACCCCTGCCTGTGAACAATTAAAATAAGCGAGGAAACAGCATCATTTAGTGGCTAATACTAGAGAGAGTCTTCCGCATATTCAAATCATATTCTGAAAGTGAAATAGGCTGCAAAGACATCTCAATGGTTAACTTACAGTTCTCCTCTCTAAGAAAAGAGATGTGGTTATGGTTCATGACAGAAATCCTGGAACTATCCCCTGGGTCAGAAGTGCAAGGGCTAGGGACGGGCTGTGAGAAAAACAACAGCCATTCCAAGTCTACCTCCTGTTTTTCTTCAGATCACGGCATTCAGATGCCTCAGTGATAGTGAGAGTCTGTCCTCACCACTCAGAAAGCCCACTTGATGTGAAATTTGTATCTGCCGAGAATACTGATCCACTGATAAGTTCACTCACACGTTGGAGGGGGATGGTCCTCAACAAGAAAGCTGCGCCTCCGACAAAGGGAGCATTTCTGTAACTCATAGGGCAGGATCTGACATTTTTAGCCACCTACTTTGCCTGAAACAGAGGCCAAGCCTATTGACCACTAGATAGCTTGCATAAATTAAATCACATCTTGGGCCACCTGGGTGGCTCAGTCAGTTGGTTAAGTGTTTGACTTTGGCTCAGGTCATGATCTCGTGGTTTAGGGGTTCAAGCCCCACATCAAGCTCTCTGCTGTCAGCGGGGAGCCCACTTCAGATCCTCTGTCCCCACTCTCTCTGCCTGTCCCCCACTTGAGTGCTTTCTCTCTCTCTCTCAAATAAATAAACATTAAAAAAAATCATACTGGAGCAAATCAGAGAACTCTAGATGCTGGCGAGGATGTGGAGAAACGGGCACCCTCCTACACTGTTGGTGGGAATGTAAACTGGTACAGCCCCTCTGGAAAACAGTGTGGAGGTTCCTCAGGAAACTAACAATAGAACTCCCCTATGACCCAGCAATAGCACTGCTAGGAATTTACCCAAGGGATACAGAAATGCTGAGGCATAGGAGCACATGGACCCCAATGTTCATAGCAGCACTCTCCACAATAGCTAAAACATGGAAAGAGCCTAAGTGTCCATCAACAGATGAATGGATCAAGAAGATGTGGTTTATCTATACCATGGAATACTACATGGCAATGAGAAACAATGAAATCTGGCCATGTGTAGCAACATGGATGGACCTTGAGGGTGTTATGCTGAGCGAAATAAGTCAGGCAGAGAAGGACAAATATCATATGTTTGCACGTATAGGAGGATTAGGAGGAACTTGACGGAGGAACAAGGGGGAGAAGAAGGGCGGAAATGGTGGGGGAAAGGGAGAGAGGCAAACCATGAGAGACTCTTGAATGCTGACAAAAACTGAGGACTGATGGATGTGGGGGGGAGGGGGGGATGGGCATGGAGGAGGGCACTTTGGGGATGAGCACTGAGTGTTATGTAGAAACTAATTTGACAATAAACTATTTGTAAAAAAATAAAAAAATAAAAAA